GAAAATAATAAAATAAAATAAAATAAATTTAAGAATACTGTTACAGATTCCTGAGGTTCCGTATGAATTCTCAGAAATGTGAATCTGGGTTTTTGATGAGTCAGCCATGTTCTACATGAAAAGTAACCATAAAATAGGAATACACCTTAAAAAATGAATTAAGAATATTCTACATTTCACAAGTTAATAAATAACATTTTATTTTAAAAATCATGCAAATCCATTCATTACTCATAGACTCATTCCCTCTTTACACATTTCTCTGTCAGAAGTAGCGATACCCTACTCAAAAGTCTACATGATGGACTACTGTGTGGAAAACTAAACATGCCCCTTTCATGATAAATATGGAAAATATTTATTTTGTATGACCAATATACCACTTAGTAATGACATTATTCACTCTGAAATAGTTTTTAAAAAAAGAGGCCTGACATCAGCATGGTACAAAGGGGACATTGCAATATTCATCATACTCACACTGGCTGGTAGCAGCTGTAACATCCACCGTGTTATCATACAGTCATCAGTACTAAATGTAAATCGTGCATGCATGGTCACTCACTTAAAGGTGCATCGGTAAGCATGGCTCTTTAGCAGCCTCTAGTGGCAGCTGGAACACAACAGCAACAACAAAATAGTAATATCCTCCACCCCTCCCGTCGCTTTTTTTTTTTTTTTAGCATATTCTATGTTGAACTTGATTTACAGGCCTTGAGACATTTTCAAAAAACATGAGGTTGCTACCCTCTATGGCTAACTGCATCATACTGTAAGTTACCTTATTTACGTTAACATTATACACTTTGGGTCGTCAAACAGCAGCTTATGGTTGGAAGAATTTGATGCTATTTCATCACCGCTGGAGTTGAGACTGAGACAAAGTTAAGCAAGCTTTTATTTGTCCTGCATTTGTTTGCAATTTACAATGGCCAGTCATCTCCCATATACATCCTGAAGAGCTATTGCTTGAGCTTATAACCAAATGATACTTAAACAAACCTTTTACTCATAGTATATTAAAACAAAAATGGTTCAGTGAGAGAAAAGCAGGAGCCATTTTCTTCTGTTTGAAAAAAAAAAAAAGGGAAAAAAAGGATGCAGTTGTGGCAAAATGACTTAAAAAGTTACAATGAAGCCCACAACACTTAAATACAATATCACATAAATCTTAGTTCATCTTAAATAATCCTATTAAACAATTTACAGGTGGCATAGATTTAGTGTCTGTTATAATTTTTCACTAATCCCCAATATTAAACATGCAATGGCATTTTTCGGATAGGTTTTTTTTTGTTTTTTGGATGTCTACACAAAAAGAGTAACTATTTGCTGTATTGCATGAATTCATCACAAACAAAAGACCTTGGACAAGCAATTCTTTTTGTGGTGAATGATTTGTTGGGTATTTGCCAGCTCTAAGCATTCATTCAATCAACACTCTTATATAACTGAGGAAAAAAAGTGAAATAATTAAACAATACTGGAGTAATAATTATGTTTTTAACAACTTATTTTGCTTCTGATCTTAACATTCATTTTGCCTTTCTGCATTCTAACTAAAAATCCTCATGTGGTATATGAATTTTTAATCGCTGCCTTGTAATTTTACTGCATTGCACTGAGGGGTGTAACAATCAAAAAATAGTACTGAAAAAGTGACCATACAATCCAACACACTGTGATGCATCATTGATTCTGGCCTCTTGATGTGGAGTCCTACAGAATGATGCACCATGTGTGTCCTCAACTAAATCTGAGCAAACAGGAGCTCGTCTTTAATAGTATATTTAATAGTATGGCAGCACTGAAATGAGGAATACTTTCAAGTGTGAGGAAAAGGATTCATGCTGCATCACACATGACTTGTAATGTATACCCAGCTGTCAGGTTATTAGGTCCACCACGTGAAGTAGTACCATCACACAATCCTGCAATAAATCCCAACATATAGGCTATTTTCTAGCTGTCCATACTTAATAATAATTGATTTCTTTCCTCCACCCCATTTATATCAATGAGGGTGCAATAAATATTAGAAATAGCTCGGTTATAAGATAAGGTAATTTAAAAGTAGCACAAACTGCAGCCTCTAAAAAGATCATAAAGATGAATCAGTAACTCTGTAGAACACAGCTAGTGATCATTGTAACCTTCATGAAGGATGGATTTATTGCAGGGCTGCCGTTTTAAATCAAAATGATCTAAAGATGCAAATAATGTTAACTTGTGTGCTTCTTTTAGACGTGTGCAGATTGGCGTTATAAGATTAGCTCTAAAGCAAATGTAACTGAAATTTGAAGTCATTTCAATTGTGGATATTTCTGCTCCCGTCTGCACCCAAGATGCCAGTCATGTTGTATTTCCAAACAAAGTCCTCCATCTCTGTTTCTACTTTCCTACAGTGCTCACACACACAAGGCATATTCCTCTCCTTCATGATCCAGCTGTCCCACAGCTTCTGATGTTCTCATCAGTTTTCACACTGTATTACAGTGAAACTCCCAGACATCCTTCTCTCCTCCTCCAGCTTGTATAGCTCCACCCTTGCTTAGTAAGGCACTGTCTCCTCCTGTCTCCCTCCTCCCGCTGCACTTGCTGTGCATTTCCACTTCAGGAAACATATCGGATCCATTCAGGCTCATTATTTCTCTTAACTAACATGCACACACTTAGCTTGTCTGCAGCTATTAGGTTTTGAAAACAAATCACTTTTTGCTGCTTTGGTATTGCTTTTCAGAAAACAACAGCATTTCATGAACATATATTACAAAGCCCTAAACCCTAATTAACTAATTAAAAAAAACAAAACAAAAAAACACAGTCTAAAGCTCTACCAGTTGCGTCTAGAGATGTTTCTTATACAGCGAAATGCTGACAAGTTCATCAGAACAGACATGCTGACTGAGTCTTGACCAGTAGTTGAGCTAAACATAGAAAGTTTTTCTGAATGGTGGCATCTGGTCAGCAAAGATAAAAAGAAGCATGACTGTTCTCAGGACAATGTGACCAGCAGTGTTTGCTGGACAAACAGACATGTGTTAGGCCATGCTGCTGCTGCTGGGGCAAAATGTGAAATAAAATTTAAAAAATAAATATATGAATAAAGATCATTTACCAGAAATGTGAATAATAGATTCAACCATTTTGCAAGCACAATTTGGGGGACATATATTTATTTCTGTAGATTTTATGCAGATGGAGGATCATGACTTGTCCATGCTTTGGCTGAGTTTGCAGGTTGCTCAGTCCTACTGGAACAAAATGGACTTGATAATCATGTTGCTAGCAATGTGAATACTTAGTTAAGGAGCCCTTCACACACAGTGTTGGCATGTGCAGGGTGTGGACCCAAAGGTAACATCTAAACTGTACTTTAATTCAATCCAATACAATCGCTCTGTTTGTGAAGAATGTACATTTTTGCTGACACTGTATCACAGAGGTGTTCATTGAGCTCTGTGACTGTACTGGAGGCACCTTTTTTTATACACCTTTTGTGTTTCCCACTTTAAATTTTCCAGAAACTGAAAATCAGATCAGCGTCTCTTTGCCAACGTCAACCAAAGCTGAGCATGTAAGCCTCTGAAAAGTCAGAATTCCTGCAGTGCTGCTGTGCTGGATTAGTAGGAGACTGTCAAGGTGTTTGTTTTGTGTCCACCCCCTGCACCTACATGCAAGCGTGCATTGTACACATGAAAAGTCGTAAACATCGTCATACTACTGTCTTGCTCTCTGTCTATCCATCATTGTCCTGAAAAGCTTACATGAAGAATTCTCTTCAACTTTCATCTTTGGGTCTCCTTTTTCCATTGCCCCATCATTCCTTCGTATTTTTTGCTTGTTACTGTATGTTACTGTACTGTTACTGTGTAAATGTAGAATAAAATGGAGCAAAGTAGTCATCATCTGAGCCAAAAACCTTGGCGTTCCACCAGTCACATATTGTACAGCATTATTATTTAATATTTTCTATGTACAAAGTCTTAGAAGCATTCCAAAGTGTGGTGGAAGTTGGGGCAGAGCTGGCGAGCTGGCTGACTGGATGAGGACGGCTCAGGGTGGGGCCTGTAGAGAAGCCTGCACATCTGGGTTCTTCCTGGATTGGGAAGTGGATCAGACAGAAGAACCTGTTGATTGGTAGAATACGGGGTTCCTCAGAGAGCAGTATGAAAGCTTTGAGGGTCAAGCACAGGGAAGATGGCTGCAGAGGGCCTTGAAGAGTCTGTTGCTTTGAGAATGGGTCAGTTGAGTTGATCCTCGTACTGTTTCCGGAAACAGTCCCCTGCAGGGAAGAACTCCCAGCAACGCTCCTGGTACATCTTCCATACGTAAGACTCCTTAAAGACAGATGGAGGAGGTAGGACTGGGTTACTTCCATGTGCTATGTTAGTGTCTAGTAATCTCAACTAGACTCACTAAAGGCTTCAGTCTGCTTCAAATCAATCCTGTTGTATGACCACATCTAAAGGCAAAAGTGTGTCCGCCTGCTTCAACAGTCCAACTTAAAGACATCTGATTGAATCATACTAATGAACTACAAGCTAGACAAAAGTCTTATTGTCTTCAAGGCTCACAAGGCTAAGCAATTTCCCCTCTGGGGTCAATAAGGTATTTCTGATTTGGACACATTCTAACTCCCAATGCTCTCTCATTCATACATATCCTCCAGTGAACTGATGAGGGATTAGATAAACTCTACAGCAGCTCACTGCTTCCTGTATTGTGCTTTTTACTCTTACGAGAAAGAAGCTAATTAATCTTTGCCGCCATTTTCACAAGAATAGGAGACAGCATGAAATTACCAAAAGAACTGGACAGTGATCGGCTCCTTTCATAAGCTGCATGTTCAAACACCTCTTGGGCTAATTTCCTATGTTGAATTGAATGCAGTGTAAAATGTGGGACAAAGTTCTGCCCTTCGACTACAATATTTAACCACAGTGGCACTTAGAGAGCACATCTTCTGCCAAGGCCATTACTCTGCTCCATGAATGAGTGAAAGGGGTCCAGAGACCACCAATATTTAACGGGTTCTTCCTGTGCTCATGCTCTGCCTTTGCACCAAGTTTAATGATGCACAGTTTGGTGGTTTTTACACAACCTTTTTAATAGGAAAGCTGACAAACAAACAGCATTTTAATAGGTATATATTAAAGATGCTTTCAGAGAATGTGGTGAGAACTTTGAAGCATACTGAGGCTTTAGCAATGCAAGCAGTCAACAGCAAGCATCAGAAACACTGAAAGAGTTTGAAACTAAACTGTACTAATCACATGTAAGTGTCACAGTGATGTGAGCATATATGTACTGACACAGAAGGGAAAAGAAACTGGTTACCTGGCCTGTGTGCTCTGTTTCGTCTTTGTTGATGAGATACATCACAAAGAATCTGAAACACACACACACACATGAAAAAAAACAAACACATCCAGTGACAATATTATCACACATACAGTACAGCGACATGCACAGTCAGAGCTAGCAGTGAGTAAGGTAAATAAATTTAACCTTTTTTATGTCTAAGTTGTAATATTTCCTGGTGCCTTTGCCGTCATTTGAGCAAAGCTCCAAGCTTTAAGTCACTCCTTGCATTTTAAAGATGTCAAGGAACGGTGCCCATTAAGTTCTATTTAATAGGAAACTCTATCCTTTTTAGTGCCACCAACAGAGGTTACATTTGAGCATTAAATATTTTACAGATGCTTTCTCAGGCTTTGACTTGGTCACTTGTTTTCAGCTCCTTGGGGTGCTACAGTGGGCCTCTATGGTGGTGGATGGATGGCACTATGTCAGAGATACAAGAATAAAAATGCAAACAGTCACAAAACCCAGATGTACTCACAGGTAGTTGGCTAAGTTGTGCTCCTGTAGCGTGTGCGTTTCAAAGCCGTGTGGCACTGTGTCAAAGTAGTCGTTACCTATTCCACAGATAAAACATTTGGTCTGCAAGAGAAACAGAGTGAGTGTTAAGGGATGGTCACAACGTTTATCATATGACAGCAGCTAATCTGGAGATTAGGGGCAGCTGTTTGGTGCTGTGATAAAACCTGGTAGTGTGTGTTTCCATAGTTTGTTAGAATGTCACTTATGTGCCCAGTAATATATTGTTGGAATTGGTTAGTGTGTGCATTTTTCACCTCCATGTCTTCTTTCACTTGTTCCTGCTGGTCCCTCAGTTCTCCAAAAGCATCAATGATCAAGCCTAGAATTTCACAGAGCATATACGGTAGAGGTTAAACAGCTGGGACTGCAGTTTTCCCAGCATTCAACTACACACAGTTTGTTTTCACTTAACTCAATTATTTACCACTATAGCACCCGAAGACTAAATGCATCTGTTTTATCAGTCGTTAACTATTGTATCATTAGTGCCTCCTGCTATTTGGTCACAGTCTCTACATTATAATAACAGTAAATCACAATTTCATTTGTGTTGTGTGAAACAACACTCTAATCCAAATTGGAAACGGATAAAACGTGTCTTTTCACAGCTGGAAAGCTCCTACTTTCCAGGGAACCAGCACTTTCTACAAAGTCATCTGATTTTGATTGCCATGTAGATATTAAAAACATTGATAAAACTAACTTGTAAGGAAAAACATATACATGAGTGGAGGACTGTCACTGTCTGCGCACTGCTTTTTAATGTGCAAAAAAAATGTCATTCCGATTGTTTATTTATTGCATAGTTATCTCTAATTATTGTTAAGTGATTCCATCCTTAGATAGTTCCCTATAAAATGAAATTACCAATACTTGTGTGCATGCGTACCCTGGATGATGGCCAAGAGGATTACAATGACAAAGAAGAAGAAGGTGATGTCAAAGATAATGCGGTAGATCTCATATTCGTCCCCTGCTGGGTCCTCGATCTGGTCGCCAATACCTCCACCAGCTCGCACACCTACATACATGTGGAACATGTAGCACTGGGGAAGAAAGTGAGAGACACAGAATAGGGGGAGAGAGAAAGAGAGAGGAAATCTGATGTGCTGGATTTAAAATGGGAACCAGTCCTGATTACCGCAGACACATCACACACTACTATTACTACCTACATAGCAAGTTCTCTTAAATATTGCAATGACATTTGCAAACTGTCTTTTTGCAGTGACATATTACAGTAAGTCAATGTTTCAGTTTCTGTTTTTACCTAAATGTATAATAATCATGTATTTAGAATAAAGTATAAAATATAGAGAGCCATGTTGTAGAGACTGTACAGATTGATAAGATAGAGGTACATTTGTAGTTTGTGGTATTGGGCTGTATTAATAAAACAACCTGCAGGAGAGAAATACAAACAAAAACATATATGAGTAAATGTCAGTGGTTATGATCTTTAGTGCATTTACATAAACAACAGCCCTCGCATGACCAACAGAAACTTAAAAACTAAGTCCAAAAATCTGTTTTCTTTTTTTTCCTATTAAACATATCAAGTTCAAAGAAAGATTGTGTTAAGTCTGGAGAGACAACCAGAAAGAGGGTCGAACACTTACAACCCAGGCACAGAGAAGAACTGAGTAAAAGGACAAAAGGGTAGAAGAAAGGAAAACCTCCGTACAGAGAGATAGATGAAGGCTAAGAACAAGTGAACAGGAAAGAAGAGATCAGTGCAGATCATCTCTTTCTGCTGCGAGTGTTATTGTAAGGGATTTATTCACAAAAAGGAGGAGAGAAGTGGCCATTCATCAGTCTATCCCTCCAATCCACTAAGCCCCTGTCACCTTGTTCTACTGTAGAACAGGCAGAGATGCCACTCCGGCCCCTTAATAGGAAACAGAAAAGCGCTATGGAATGTTATGGGTGGCTGACTGTAGGGGGATTAGAGTGTGTGTCCTGAAATTTCCGGGTGACAGAAAGCCCCTTTCCACCCTCAGAAAACACACACCATAGAGCCCTTATATAGTATTTCTTTCAGATAGCTTTGGAGCAGGAAACAGCCTTATCATAACTGTACTTCATTCTATCTGTACCTGTGTCCTCCCTCTGTCACAGACCAGACAGTCCTACATATCTGCCTTTAGAGTAGATGATTATGTTCCGTACCTGACATAGCTGACACACAATAAGGATACAGATCTTTGTATAAATACAGTGGGTCGAGTTTAAAATACATAATAAACCTGCCGTCCCTGTTTCCTGGCAGCATCATGAGGTGAGATTAGTCAGTTAACAGCTTTCTCTGGTCTAACTCCAGTTTCACATTTCTATGTCACAAAGTTGCTTCACCGTTAACCAGGCTACATCACAATGGTAAAGGGTCAGCTGATAGTCAGTTAGCTTGAGTACATATTACATGGCTGCAAATGCCTTCAAGCAGTGATTCCTGGACTGCTGGGAACTTTACTGCACGTCATTTAACATGCTACACTGCTAACCTGGTCAGGGATCATGGAACTGGCTTCCCATTTCTATGTTGCAAATCCCATTATGTAGAATCACCAGAGTTGTCTTGGGTTCAGGAAGCCAGATGTGGTCACCCAGAGGGAGCCCTAAATTGAGCTTGCGTCATGATAAAGGCCCCAGTTTAACAGGATAAAGTTTGTCTTTGTTAATGTCACGCGCACTGTTGCTATTCCTGAAAAGTTAACAGAAGCCTGGAAAAGAAATGCACAAAAAAAGACCATGGAATCTTACAGTAGCTTAGCTGGACTTCAGACGGAGCCTGAGGGTGAACACTGTCAAGACTAAAAGCTCTGACCCATGACTTTCTGTCCATAAATGGAGCCGCACCCTCATTAGAGACAGGCTGCACTGGATGCTTCCTAGTTTCAATGAGGCAGGCTTTACAGGCATTATCAGCCAGAACAGCATGAGCCACTGCCCAGAGGTAGGAGACTAAATAGTGGCAAAGTCAAACACGATCCTGCCATAATGTTTTTCCATTGGTGAGATAATTTTACGGCTGCAACCTGTAGCTTTCGTCAGGCTTGCTTGAATTAGCAGGAACAGGCGAAGTTCAGTTACCTTTAAATCTGATTGGTGGGTTTGTTTCTTCAGATTGTGAGTCACACTGTATAGATTTAATTTACACCTGCTGAGATCCTATCACAGTGTAAGCAACTTTGCTGCAATATGTACAATACACTTGTCAACTCACTGTCAACATGTCGTCACACTTCATGTCTGGCAGCTCTCCGTCTTCACTCTTGTTGTAGAACTTCCTGAAGAAGTTGAAGGCCACTACAGTGTAAAGATACACCACCACTGCTAACAGGCCGACGGTTAACACCAGCTGGAGGACAAGAGACAACACAAGACTGCTGTGATGCAGAATCTAGATGAAAAAGTCTAGTACAGCATCCATTTTCTTGGTTGATCCTTTCTTTTAGGGAACAGGTATGTATTGAACATTTCTGCAGGGGTGTTACATTTGGGTTTAATGATCTATCACTTAATTAGCAAGTGATTGCTTCTTATTAGCCATTTCTGTTTCTGTTCAAGTTTGGTATTTTTCACAACATGACAATAAATCACTGAAGATAAATAGTTTAAATCCATTTTATATATTTTTTTGGATACAGCTAGAGACTGAACTTATCTAAATGAATACTAGTAAGTGCCATTACTACATGCAGTGTGGAGAAGTGTGATTTAAAAGAACCTCCTGCTATTTCTGAATAGTATATATCAGTGGCTGTATAAGTCAGATATTAGTATGTAGTTTACTTGTTTGCCATTGTGGGTGACTGAGGATAGGATGGTACGCAGTGTCTTGAAACCCATGGCGATGTCCAGCAGATGGGCAGCAAAGAAGAAGTTGTTGTAGTGACCCAGAATGGACATGGTCATATACCAGGCCAGATACAGGAAGGACTGTAGGAAAGGAAGGACAGGGAGGTTATTCAAGAAACTGCAGTCCATCGATATTGAGTGAGTGAGAGAGTAATTAGTTTGACATTTCAGGTGATATAGGACAGAGTTTTTTGGGAACAAATGTAAATAGAGAATATTATGGACACGTAGCTGAGCTCAAAACAGTTCACCTTTATAAGTTAGAAGCTGTCCAGGTGATAGATTTACAAAATGAAACAGTTTAGGATGACGTGTCATAGATCAGTGTTCAGTTTGCGGCTAGATTTACGTGGGTTTTAAACATTGGTGCAGATTAGTATACATGCTCATAAAAACATAGTGAATATCATTCGTGTAAGACTTGAATGTACAGGTTCACTTTTTTCTTTTTTGTCTCTCTTAAAATTACAGTCATTGGCTCATATGAATGCAGGTTTTGCCTGCTGTAATCATTCTCCCTGTTCATGCTGACTATTAATAGAGTCCGCCCTTCCCCTTTGGAAAAGCACTAAATAAATAAAGTTTATCAAGTTTTAAACTTCAGCCCAAGTTAACAAAAGGTTCCAACAGTCTGAAGTAAACAAATAAAGCATCTTGTGAAGTTGCAGTATATTTCGTACAAGGTTCGAATCCCAGGTTATGCCACAAATGAATGCTGACTTTTAATTTGACTGTCTGTATTTGTAGTGCATGCTCATCTCTCAAAGGAGAGGGGAGAGCTGGAGGGCTGTACATTTTCAAATTCTGCCATTATTATTATATGTTTTCCCCAGATTTCTGCCTATCCAAGGTTTATTTAGAAGAGAATAAAACAGAATAAAACTTCATTGATCCCTTCGGTGTAAACCTCAGGGAAATTGTTGGATTTATTTTTAATAATAATTTCCAAATCTCCATGTAATGCAATAGTCTAGATATAAGAATTGTGGAGATTATTCCACTCTGTGTAAAAACCAGAAAGCTTTATGAAGAGCTAAAACATTTCAAAACTGCTTAAGGGAGAAACTAAAACAGTTTGATATAATCTTCTGAAGTTTCTTACATGACAATATTGAAATTTAAAACACACAAAAAATTAAAAACTCAGATCAGGAAATTCTGCAGTGAATCCACACAATCGAGTCACACATGGCTACTGAGTGGTTTGTGCTTTTGTATACTTACGTTGTCTGTAAATACAACCCCCAGCTTCCAGATCTGGTACTTAACGTCAATGGAGTTCAGCCTGTCAGCAGTGGGAGAAAAGGTTGAGTCTTCTTCATATGTACAATAACAATTTTCAACCTGTGTTTATTTAATCCTCTGAACCCGAAGCAGTTTCAGTATGATTTTTTTTTTTTTACTAATGTTACATTTTCCTTTACTGTTGGCTGATTTTTCACTGCAACGTCAAGTTCTGAATGTGTATGAAAGTAGCGCAACAAAGCTATTTTGTGCAGTGTGACAGAGTCATAATGCCATAAATCATTAAAAAACAAAACAAAAGTTGAATTTCTTTTTTAAAAAGTAAAAAGAAAACCTGGAAACATCATGTACAATATTTGTCAAAGTGCTCACATGTTACTAATAATGGAAAAACAACAGTGTCTCTTTATACTGTCGATATTGTACTACACATATTTTTACAACCTCTTTAAACTACACATTTCTCTGCACATCAACCCTCTAAAGCTACTTCACCCTGCTGAAAGTATTTTCCATTAACCTGACTGACAGAACAGCTAGTAGACTGTGAGGAGATATTCCCTAAATTTGACAAAAACAGTAATGGATTGGAATCGCACATGTCAATTTAAATTAATGAGTCAAATTTGTAAAGCTGAATAATCAGCTTCCATGTTTCATATGCCCTCCTAGAGCCACTGTTGGGTTATTGGTTCACTGGGTAACTCACAATGGAAAAAAAAACCTTTAACTACTTCAGTAAAATTGCTGAATGCCCCCTTTCTCACTCTCTCTGTCTTACTCACACAGCAGTCAGTGAGCTGTCTCTCCTGGGCTTTCTCTTTTTGTGAGCATCGCTGAAGTCCAGAGCAGCCTTGTCCATTCCAAGCAGTTCACTGATCCGATCATGGCCATAAAACTCCCCATATTTATCCATCACCTGAGGAAGAGCAGGAGTTCTTAAATAAATACTTTCTAACAGCAAAACATCTCATATGTATTTCCAACATCAGTACTTCAAAAATAATAAAAAATAAACTTCAGCTCTACAGAGACAGATGACGTGTAACACCCATTTTCTGTTGTCCACCACACTGTGTCTTAGTGGAGTCATTGAGATGCATTTTTTATTCATTTCTGATTTACCTTCAGTTTAATTTCTAAGGAGAAAGTGTTTACACAATTGCACATGATCAGCAATGTTCAATTTGGAACAAAATAATGGCTACCACATGAAAGTGGCCAGTCTCTTATGTAGTTTGAGGAGGTTTACATCAGTGTGGGAAGAGCTGTGTAAGACCTACAAGCCTTTTAACACAAAGCTTGTTGGGATTCAAACACAACCAGACCGACAAACGTGAAGTCAAACACTACTATCATATCTAATATTGTGTGCTGTCCAATTATTTTGCCCTCTTGTATACTGGAGACAAAAACATCTGTCACATTTCTCCAGCATAGATAAAATACAACAAATTACAAATAATGTGCGTCCCAAAACCTGAACTTATTGTAGTTAAGTCTCAGCTAAAAAATGACTTAATAAACTCTTGTTTATTCATCTGAACTTATAATATGACTGGTTATGACTGATGTGATTTTAAGTGCTTACAGAAGGTTATTGGGTATTAAAAACAATCACCTACCTTCCTCTTCACAAACTTATCCCAGTAGTTGTTGGGAAACGATCTGAAAGTAATAGGACAAAAGGCTCATGACTTAGATCATCTATAAAAGCATTTCAGTGTATTACTATAAAAATGTATCTGTGAAAAACTATAACAGGGAACACCAAGTTACTCTTTGCATAGTGAATTCTTATTCCCTCGGTTGTTATCCTTGTTGACAAATGTGTGAAAGCTGAGTCCTACCAAGTGTTGTACAGCAGCATTTGCTAAATTTAAGGTGTTTCTTACACAACAATCACATGGTTTGTGCAGTTCACCTGTTAATCAAGTAGCTCAGACTAAGCAGAATAACAGAATAATGCTAGAGTCACCATTTATGAAGACAAATGCATAAGGAGATAGAAGACACAGAGGCATTCAGCTTGCAGAATGATACAGTAGATATACAGTAGGTGTCCACCTATACTTGAAAAACGATTTAACCCAATGCAACCAGAAGGTAGATCTGGGTTGTACCACCTGCTCACCTCTGTTAAATATATATATATATATAGTTTTTTGGGTTTTTTTTAAATTTTTATATATATATATATATATTTGTATTTTTTTTTAAAATTTAAATCATGTGATTTTCTCCTAGTTCTTTATTTATTTGTCATTCACCGACACTAGCCTCAATGGATGCTGCCTATGTAGGATATCCAGTATGACAAACCACAAGCTCATGTGTACGCACTCATACAGACACGCACGGTCTACTCACTGTGTGTTGATTACTAGTCGATCCCACTGTCCTTTGATGTCATCCTCAGATGGTTGTTCTGTGATATAAAGGCCATCAAATTCCAGCTTCCTGGCCACCTCCTTTTCACGTTTAAAGATCACCAGCGGCACCTACAGAACCCACACACAGACCAACAATAATATAGCAGTGCTGTTTAATTTCAGCAAATTTAAATTGTTGGACTGAAAACATACTGCAGAAAATGTCTATAAAAGTGAAGCTTCAATGACTCTCTATAGGATTGTCCATGAAAATACCAGCATGCAGATTCCATATTTTTGACTTATTCATGCTACATGTCAACAGTCAGTATCCTGCCTTTAGACAGTAGTATCCGATGATGCAGAAGAAGGAGATGACTGTGTGCATGACGGCAAGGATCCGTAACATGGGCTCCATGTAGCCACTGCTCTCCTCCAGGACAAAACGGACTGTGACAGGCTTCAGGGGCTCCCCAGCATCATCCATCACCTCCTCCTTTGCTTCCACTGCTTCTCCACCCAGTGGGTCCCACTGAACACTGCTGTCTGGTTGGCTGCTGGTGTACACCACTTCCCTCTCCTCAATCACAGACGTGGATGTAGAAACCTGGTAGAATAAAATGTCTATCAGTTGTTTTGATAAACATCTTGTGTGTATAGATAACCTTGATTACAGCTGTAATAGATATTTAAGCTGTATGCATAATTTAAAGTCCAGTCACAGGTGAATCAGTACTCCTGGATATAACTACACCATGAAGACAAAAGAATGCTCCAAGCAACTCCATAAAAATGTCATTGAAAAGCTTGTCTTGAAATGACATTGATGTGATGTTGAAGTCAGGAGTTATTTCTATCTGACACCAAGAACACTTGGTGTTTTGACTTAGATTTGAACTGATACTAGATAAATGTGCTCGGACAAAACAGCTTGCTGCTGCCTCGTAATTCACACATTCAAGTCTCTCTTAGTCTCTCTGTGGTGGCAGTCTCTCTGAGATCCCACCACATTTCACTTGCAGCATGTACACATTAGGCTTTTATCATTGATTACCATTTTGTGGTCTGAAATAAAAGACGCAATCGAGCTAGTGATTTAAAGCCAGTTAGTCAAGCCTCAAGCCTCTGACGGATCCCTGTTTGCATAGGTAGAATACTGATATCACATCTGATACCTGATTGTAGAAATCAGTTACCTCTGGATAATCATATTCATTATCTGGAGAGCGTACTGGTGAATGGTGAATGTATGTCTTGTTTTCTTTACAAATGTACCTAACTAATAAAGACCCTACCCTGGTATACCATTACCTTGTAGAAAAGGAGGATAAAGTTGATGGCAAAGGCAACGAACAATGCCAGCATCCTCATATTGTAGAAGTTCCTGGCAAAGTAGTTCTGCAGGGGAGACAGAAAAAAGAGCTGTCAGTGAATGCTACAGAAAGAGATGATGCTAGATTCGAACTTGAAAAGATCAACTTTTTTAAAAATGTGGTTTCCACACTGTCCCAATGGGCTGCACCGTAGTGTACTGGTTAGCACTGTCTCCTCACAGCAAGTAGGTCCTAGCTCATTCAAGCTCAAATCATCACATTTTTTTAAACAACAATTTCTGCTCGACCATCTCATTTGCCTAAAATTTTTACACCATAGAATTAAAATAAAAAGACACATTTGTAAAAAAAAATCCCATAGAACACTGGTGACATTATGAGCATTTCCACATGGCATTAAAGTAAGCTGCTCTAGTTCACGTCTCAGCTGTGAACTTAAAGGACAACATCTGCAAAGTTAGGCAGCTTAAACTCAGTTTTTAATTGTTGTTGTATGGAACAACTGAACCCAGAACTTTGAAGTGATGTGGTCAGTCGAGGGACCTGTCCATCGACGATATCTGACCTGCTGAACTGATTCATCTGGATGCCAGATAAGAACCCATATATTCCAGTACTGCTACCTGAGTGGTAACACCAACACTTTGGATGTAACCAGTATTTGTTAAATACGCTCCAAACTTGTCAGAAACAGTTGCAACAAAAGGACAGAAAAGTTGCCCATACCAGTAGTTTTCTCTGGTAGGCTATGATCTTCTTTAGGAAGGGTGATTCCTGCAGATCAGGTTCATCAGACTTCAAGGTGTGGTGTCTTCTTACTTTTGGCTTCACCATGTCATTCTTCTGTTGTTTCACTGGTTTCTCTACATGTCCACCTCTGAAACCACAGAACAGTTTACACTTACACACATCTAACAATGCACGACCACTTCATAGTGGCTTCCTTCATCCAAGTGCATTAATTGGCATTTAGAGGGCCAAAGAACTAACTAACATTTATTACACACTACAAAGCATTTTATATCCCCACGCATCCAGTTAAAGATGCCACACCTGTAATTGCCCCTGAAGGAATTGGCAGTCAGTAATACTTTTTAAAATGCTTAATAAACCAAAGCTAGCACTGGATGTGTGTATATCGTATCTATAGAGGGAACCAAAAGTCTGAGATGAGAGGTGGCCCCTCTAAAATTAAATATTTGTTTTTGTTCAGGGACAACATTGTTGTCATTGTTGTCAGACAGTCAGTAAATAATCTGTTTCACCTCACTGAATATATGTCAGAAGCAGCAGATATGGCAGAAAAGCTAATAAACATTAGTTCACTATAAGCAAGACTCAGAAGGTCTGGTCTATGTTCCCTGTTGATAAATCACTGGATAATCCTGTATGTTAGAATCTGTCTCTGGACGGAAATCAGCTATTTCACACCCATTGACATGGTTTTGGCTGCACCTTTGTAGTAAGACTTCACTCACCTTACAGCAAGTTGTCTCTGACTCTTGCCACAACTGTTGAGATTCTTCCATTTATATAATAAACGCTTCAATGAGTTTCAGTATCAGGATCAAACTCTCACTTTATGACATTTCATAACTGTGTCTCTAAAATCAAGTTACATAAAAATGTGGACATACTCTGATGTTTTCTCAGGTTCACATTCAGTCTCTGGTGTCGCTTCCTTCTCCTCTGAGGAAGAGCTTTTTGACTGAAACAGAAAACACTATTAGACAAACCAATTTGCGGGTGAGTTTTTCTGCATGGCTTAAACAGGCTTGACAGGATCTTACACCAACTTTGACAGGTTAGATTTTAGGCATTTTTGTGGCCTTTATTCTTCTCACTGGTTTGAAGTGGAACATGACTTCAGATACCAAAGTCAGTGCAACAGTGCAATAACTATTTGTGGGTTGTTTAGTTATGGTCAGTAAAATCTGATATAAGCACACTCACACAGTCACTCGAGATGGAAAACTGTTAGGTTCAGGAACAGTTTCCTTCCCACCGTCATCCGTCTTTTAAATAGAGGACTGTAAATATCGTAGACACTCTACTGCCTTCACATGTGAAATTACTTTTGGGACATGTGCAGTAACCCTAGTGAGGATTAAGCGGTGTTGAGATAATGGATGGACGGATTTTTCGTGGCTATCATCGCAAATGAAAGTTTTTACACAGCTAGTGCCCAGGGACAGAGCTGGACTGTATGGTGATTTTGGCATAGTGTCAAAACCACCTGACTACAATTTCTACGTTCATTATATAATGTAATCCCCACACACAATGTGTACAAATGGAGCAGCTGTAAAACTATGAATACATTTTACCAATCAGAATATGCTTCATCCAGTGCATTTGGAAAGTCTAGAAAAGACTGTTTAATTGTTTTATTTTATCCCATTCATGTGTGATGGAAGCCGAGGGGAAGTCAGAGGCAACTCCCAGTGGAGGGCTCATATGTGCTCTCAGCCAGCTTCCCTGGACATCGATGGTATTGCACATGCTCTATGAGTTTTTCTAGCGAAGCTAAAAATGTTGGAGCATTGATTATTTGATTTAACATTTAAAACAGATTGGAGAATAAAGAAAGACAGAAAGGAAGAAAGGATTGCTAAACAACAACAATGTCTCACCTGATGCCTTTGTCTGAGCTCAGTTTGGGGTGCTGTAGGTGCTGTAGGTGCTGAAGGTGCTGTAGGTGCTGTAGGTGCTGTAGGAGCTGAAGGTGGTGTAGGTGCTGAAGGTGCTGCAGGTGGGGTTGAGGAGGGAACTGGAGAGTTGAGGAGTTCAGTAAGGCTGGCGTTGGGGTTATGGGGGGTGATCTTGTACTGGCCGCCCTCCCTTCTTAAGTCCAAACCAAAAATGTCTGACAACAGCTCAGTCTCACTGGTGTTGACTGCCAGGTCAGCCAGGTCCTCCTTCGGGGAGCTGCGGTCAGACGATCTCTTCTCTCTGTCTTCCCCCTCACCCCGAACCTCGTCCTGGGTGGGGTCGGGCATGTTGGCCAACAGCTCTGACACCTGGGGATCAACGGAGTTGAGATATTAAGAAACAGCTCTGACTGTATCTAGATTGTTTAATGACCTGTTGGCACACTTTTCTTATAAAATGACGTATGATAACCTTTATGGTCTTAGCTCCCTCCACCAGATTTCCTCCCATGAAAGTGCTGTGGAAGATTCTGCAAAATCCTCGAGCTACACTGAACGCCACATGGAGGAGGCCCAGCAACACTGACCAGTAGAAGGAGACCAGCGTGGTCACCATGTCCTTCACTGTCATGTTTTTTATTTTCTTCATCTGCTTCTTCAAGCTTTTCATGGACAGCACCTGTAAACAATGGGAAGAATGGGATGAATGCCAATATCTGGGTGTGCAAAACTTGCAAAATCAAATCAAACACTTGAAGTGGCTTCTACAAAAACACTGACTGAAAAGTCTAAATGTGTTTGTAAATGAGATTTTGAATTTGGTCTCTATTTTAGCTCCTTCTTGTGATGAAAGCAGTAAATAGGCGTATTTTCAAAAATGTTTAAAGACTCTTTTCACATATTCGAAAATACATCCACACCTTTCTTGAAACATTAACTGAGGTAAGTGCTGTGAGTGCTCCCACCTTTATTAGCAGCATGACGTTGTATCTGAGAGCTAGCAGTGCCATGCAGACAGTGGTAACGGAGAAGAAGCCCATCTCTGGGTTCTCCTCATCTGGTTTCTCCCGCTCACTCTCCTCTTTCGCCGCAGAGCGCTCGCCAGCGTCAGACATCTGAGCAGCCAGTTGCATTTCAAAGATTGTGTCCTCGCAGAAATTCACAAACAGCTCCATCTTCTCCTTCTCCCCTCCCTCGTTCACCACATCAAAGATGAACTGACGCTTGGATTCTTTGACCTGGGTGGAATATAAAAATGCAATGAGGAAATTTGGGGATAATTTGTTTCTATTTAAAACTTTAACCAAAGTCAGTAGTGTTTCTTTGAAGTGAGAAATCTTAACTACAAATGCTACATATATTTATTCATTTGTTGTACCATCTTTACCTGTGGTTTCTCCCACTGTGTCCGACTTGACTCACTGATCTCAAAGTAGACCCTCTCTATGCGCTTAGCACTGCCCATGATCTCAATTCGACCGAGGTATGGTTGGAAGTAGTTGAGGACACTCTCTGCCAACTCCAGGAAGGTCTGCAGTCGGGTGTCATGAGGCATGTGCTCCGACAGGTTGGTCAGCAAAACAGCCACATTAAAGCCAATGTCCTTTGGAAATAGTTCAGTTAGAAATTACATTAAAATATTCAAACAAAATCTCCCTTTTCAGCATGTTCTCCACTCTGTAAGATGGCAAATTTTCCCGAGATGGATTTGAACTGCTGCACTGTAATTTGTAGACTGTAATCTAAAGCAGGGATTCCCAGCCAACGGTGTCTGAATTTGGAGTGCCCCAAGGGGTACTGTTGCTGTTGCCAGAGTTACAAGGAAAGATTACAGGGCAGTTCATGTAATTTGATTTTCCTTTAAAAGTATATGCCCACATATTGCATCAGCTACATTCAATTCAGTTCAATTCAATTTTATTTGTAAAGTGCATATTTACAACAAGAAGTCATCTCATAGCGGTTAACAAAGGTAGATTATTTCCTGTTTTATTTCGAAATTATCTGCCCTTGTAATTTCCTGCCTTGTCCTCATTGGTTACAGCTGAGTACAGAAACACAAAACTAGAGATAACAAGGTTTTCATACTAAACTCACTATGAGGTGGTGAAACGATTCTCTAAAAATAGTGTTTAATCATTCTGAGGGGCTTACCTTTGGTCATTTAATGGTCAATGTTTCTTTTCTTTTTTTAATATCTCTAAACGTTCCGTTTACTAATTTTAATTTACCTTGGCTGGCTCATGAAAGCGCTCCACAAACTCTTCATAGTCCAGGAGTTCATTTTCATCAGTCTCAGCACAGGAGAGCAGGAACTCAGTCTCAGACTGGGTGTAGTGTTTGTGGCTCTCCATGGCTTTCTGGAAGTCCCTCTTAGAGATGACACCTGTCGGTTCAATCAAAAATCAATAAATCATCAGCAGCTCTCACCGTGTTTGGTAAAAGTTTACACATTCAAATAGTGGTTTGAAATTCTGTAAATGCCAATGACTATTTGTCACTGATGATTCCTCAGTGACAAATATAAAATATATGTTGCAGCGTATGCAGCATCTTGCCTTTTCCATCAGGATCATACTCTTTGAAGGCATCTGAGGAGGTCAGGTCTTTCAGTTTGAGGAACATGTCAAAGAACTTGAGGATCATCTCCACATTGTTCGAGGACTCCACCAACATGTCGACCATCTGCTTCCCAATAGTCCCATTCACCACATTTCCTGCCACAACAAGATAGCACATTTACAACCAAGGTATACACTTGAAACACAACACAACACATTTGTAAGCACTGGTGGAAGACAAAGCCTTTTCAAAGTTTTTGACAAACTTGACGCTGTTCTCAGAGCTCATTGTGGCGTGTATGAAAAAACACAGCCTGTTTGCTGACATTTCAGAACTAATTAGCTTTTACACTCACTTAAAATACTTCTTGGAGGGATGAGCAAAGATTTGTAGAATGGCACTTAGGAAACACAGCTAAGCTTTAAGAAATACGATCCATTCTTCCTACTTTGGTATTTGATGCAATTGTGCTTGTGAAACCAAACCTACCCTCAAGCATAGACAGCAGCATGACCACCATGTCTTTCTGTAGATCCATCAGTTCCTTCAGTAACTCAATCTGACTGGAGTCCTGCGGTGCAAAAAAGCAAGAATTAAAGAAAGTGCTCCCCAGTAATCTGCACTTTTTCTGATAATTTGTTGTCAAATATTAGCAACATTAATAAAATGTACAATTAAAAAAAAATATATAAAAATTCTGTGAGTCCACACAAAAATGTGAAATGGCGCATTGAGGCCAAAATGCATACATTCAGAGCTGCAGTAATAATAGTTGAAGGTTCTTATTGAGTATTCTGAACAGCAGAGAGAGAGTAAACAGCAAAAAGAAAAGAAACTACTTAAAATACAGGAAGAAATCCAAGTGCAACACAGAATAAAACAAAATTCAGACATAGTTGAAATAGCTTCCTATAGAATGAGATAATTAGGCAGGGAGTTCTACAGTTTTGGGGGCGGGGGAAGTGAGAAGGCCCGCTCACCCCAGTAAACAAAGTGAGCTGTCAACACAGCTAAGAAGACCCTTTGCCTGAGAGATGCATAACAAATGAATGACGTGATCAGATTTTTAGAGCCTGAGACCACAGATGCCTCATACTTTGAGATCTCAACTCACCTGAGACAGTTTCATCTGCATGTGAGCGAACACATGAAGAAAGCCAACCACAGCGTCCCACAGTCGACTGTGAGCCAAACTCTGCTGGTTCCCAGTGCATGGACCCTACAACATCACCAGCCATATTCAGGTCAATTTCAATCAGCAGATGCTACTACATAGAATTTTTTGACATATTAGCTACTCCAGAATCAATACATATGAATATGAATGTTGTTATGGCTTTTGAACTGCTCATCTTCCAACACAATAAATTATTTTTAGCACTATGTTTAATTCTTTTTGTAGATCATTCATTAACAGCTAGATGCCACCATAATTTGTTACTGTTGCAGTACACAAGTTCTCAGACACTTGAAGGAATATTATCAGAAATAAGGCAATCCTATTTAATTTGAAAGCATCTAATTAAAGCAACAGCTGTCACTGCAGTTTAAAAGAAAGAAAAATCTCAATAAAACTCAAAATGAAAGTAAACATCTTAGTATAAATAATTTAAGTATTTTTTTTTCGACAAGTGTCAGTTCATTTTGTATAACAGCGATGTCAACAGTGATGACTGCAGTGTGTTCTCATACCTGGATGTATTCCGTCAGTGTATTGAAAACCTGCTTGGCAACATTTATTGCCTTGGAGAAGTTCCTCTGGCCCTGCTCATCAATAATGTCTTTCCCAGAATAGTACCAGTAGAAATCACTGACAGACTCCTGGAGGAGAATGAAGCAGGAGGGCAACATAGGGAGTGAGAGTGGAAAATTAAACTGTTTTGATTACTATTAGAATTTCATCAGTAGTAGTAGAGACCAAGCCCAGCACTATTACCATGAAGTGTAGTCAATATTAGATGGTAGTTTACAGTTTGACTTATTTAAGTGTGATCCATCTGCACAAAATCAGTTGCATTGTGCCTTGGGCTATATCTGAGACACAGTCCGAATTACGTTCACACATGATAAAATATTGATTTTGTGTCTGTTACGTTGATCGGTCCATTTGGTTGTTTTCTACATGTAGGTAACATATAATATTACAGAGCGTAATAATATTACACTGTCAAATACCACCAGGCACAATGAGACTGATTTTGTCCAGATTGGTCACAAATAGATGCCCTATCAGCAGTTTAATCAACTGAGATCTGCTAGCTATGATATACAACAAAAGTCAGTACACCTCACGCACATGTGCAATATGAATTAAATGTCAAATGATTCAAAAATATATCAGCTTACAGAGTAAATGTAAAACTAAGAAACTGTTTTTCATTTACTATAAGAAAATGCAGGTCCCATGTGAGAAACTCAATGCAACAAAGTCATCTATATCATTACTGAGAATCAAAGCTTTTATTTGCTGAATACATCATATGCTCAACTTTATTTTTGAGAATGAATCCTCCTCTGCATGAGGATACTACATTTCTGGAGAGCTGTACATCCATTCTTCATAGACAATGTTTTGCTAGCTTCTTATTTCTCTTTACCGCAGATGTGTCAGGCAAGTCATCAATAAACTTTGCAAGGTCATAATTTCCACTATATTCTTTCTTCGTACCTCTTGTTTAATTTTCAGTGTGAACTGGATTGTTATGATGCCGAAATATTCCCCTTCTGCCAAGCTTCTGGAAGCCATGAGTCAGCTTGTCCAGTATTTAAATCTACAGACAGTGCCATCTAGGATTGTCAGCTCCACACCACCTTTTGCACTCACTCATGCCTCTGTGCCTCACTGTCAGACCTTTGCATTCAGTGTGGTGGTGACAACCAGGTTCATCCCAAACACGCAGGACCCCACCTAACCCAACATATTTATCTTGGTCACACCTGACCAAAGAATATGCTCCCACAATATTCAGCAGGTTTTATACATTAAAGCAAAGTTTAGTTTTGCAATGTAGTGCAGAAGGGAAAGAAAGTGTTTTGTTTTTTTTGTTTTTTTTTGTGGATGCCGTCTAAAAAGTTTGACATTCAATGTCCTTCACACTGTTTGAGCTGCCACAGAAACTCAGATTTTCATGGATAACCTCTGTTCCAATACTGAAGCACATCTGTTTGTCAGGGGCTAGATTGTGAAAGTAGGGCACTGTCCATGCTGTCATTTGAGGAGGTTGAGACTGTGGCTCAGATTAGTGGTACATTGGCACGTTTGTTACGTCTTGATTACTGCTGCTAACCCCTAACCCTAACTTTGGCTGGTCACTAATCTTCCTGTATTCCTTTCATTTTGTGAAGTCTGAAAATCTGATTTGTTAATTCTTCTGGCAGTTATATTCAATGTAGAACCATCATGCAGACATCATCAGAAAACTGAAAAAGTACTAGTGTTAACAGGTCATTTTATAGCCATGCTCATGCAATAAGGTCAATTGAAGCACAGGTGTGCTCAATTTTGTTTTCTAACTTGAATGTCAGTGATCATGGATGTATTTACTTTTGCTCCATTTAGTTTCTACTTCAAGGACTGTATTTTTAACATGGCCTTTCTATGATTTTTTTTTTTGATTGATCTGAAGATGAAATACTACTTGTCAACTTAGAAATAATGCAATTACTAAGAGGTGAGGCAAGCTGAAATCATTTGAGTTGCATTTATTGTCCATTAGAGGAAATCAATAAAATATAAACTTCCATTTAACTCAATGGATATAGGTAATATGGGATTGTTGTCAAAACTATATAAGGACTGTATGACTTAATGGAAAATGTGCCCTTTATAAACCAGCAGGAGGGAACAGAACAAACTAACCTGAACTCTGAGGAGGTAGTCAACAGTAGAGATAATAATGTTGACAGTGGTATTGTTCCCCGTTTGTGTCCTCAAGTAGTTCTGGAAGTCTGAAACAAGATACCGCAAAATACTGTATGAAATGTGCTCAAAACAATATAGTAGGGTTAATGTGTACAAGATTGCTTGACATGTAATGATGGTGATGGTAATGGTCATCTTCTAAATACATCTGCTTTAATCAGTGGGTTTATTTAAAAAACTAAATGTAAAAAGAAAAGTGTAAAAATAAAGTCAAGAAGTTATTGCAGCCTTTTCTTTAATCTTAGCAGCATGAAAATATGGTGCAACCTGACTGGTAAATAATCTGACAGGTAATCACCTAAAAACAGCTTGCAGAGTCCTAGTAAATGTACAAAGAATCAAAATGTTCAGTTGTATTCCTCAATCAAATCAGTAACAGGGAATTTGCACACACCTGAGTTATGTCCTTCACAGAGCAGCTGCAGGAAGCGGAAAAGGTCACAGGTGAACTCATCATCCTGCATGACCTTCTCACCTGGCCGGAGAGAAGAAACACACGTACACATCCACGCACATGCACACACACACACACACACACATACACCGACACATGCAGACACACATATGCACATATACAGAAGTATGCACAAGTGTACACACAAGTACACGGGCATGTGCAAACACAGATGTACACACATTCATATAAACAGACACACATACACATAAAGAAAGTCAGATAACAACAAAAGCAGACAACATATAGGATACAAAGACAGACAAGAAGATGGAGAGTGAAGAAATATTCAAAGAGATGGTACTAGTGTGAGGAAATGTGAGAATTTTCTTTGAGTCAGAGTCAAAAGTGTATGGTCATAATACACAATTCTTATGTAATCCAAACACAACCACACATACAAACATTCACACACTTACACAATCTTGGATGAGCAATGAGTTGAATGGGTGGTGGACTGAAGTGGACTGATCTTTAAAGTGCAGCATTTTACAGTCAGGACTGAAATTTAGCTCTATTTATGGTTTGATGTGAACAATCTCTTGGTTTCTATTTTGAGACACTACACAATAACCTAACACAATATCATCAGCATAAAATACATCCATACTATATGACTACAAACTGAACTGGGCTGAGGGACAGAAATGTGTATGTCTGGGAAAAAAAAAGACTGAAAGTGCAAACATTTTATTTATCATGGTTAAAAATGACAGAATTTGTGGTGACTTCTACTGATCTGTTGATTTGTGTAATGCGAAACAAATATGGATCCAACTACATCTTTTAAGCAAGCATGTGCAAGAGTGGCACTTTGGTGCAACGGCTAATACTGTAGTCTTAAGGTAAGAACTTGGAAACCTGGCTTTGATAGGGAAAAGGTGTTATGGACTATGAATGCATAGCTTAAAAGGCATCCTTTCTGCCTGCCTTAACATCCTTCTCCATATTCGTGCCCTCCATGTCTTAAGCAGCTTTCAGACACTGAGCCACTGCCATAGTGGTCACAACCTCTGTGTTCTCTGTTGTGAACCTGTGGCAGGCGGGCTTAAAGCCTTGGCGGAGGCTACCAGCTACCTCAGATCTCACCAGCCTGTAAACAGCAAGCTATCCATCTTCCTAAAATGAGGTGTGATTAAAGAAAAAGAAAAAATTGTTCTTTTTGTGGATCATACAAGTCGCCACTGTCCATCCTTTTCACTCAATGATAAGTTTCCCTTGTAACATGTGCTCAGTCTTGTTCAAAGCTTCTTTTTTTTTAAACCCCCAACCATAATATTTTCCTAAACTTAACAAGTTTAAAAGAAAATGAAACTTAAGCTACAAACTAAAATGAAATTAAGAGAAAAGGTAATGGTCTGATGCAAGACATGAACCTTAGTCTTCTGAGTGAAAGTCCTGTGGCTTACACCACCACCACAACTTCAGTGTCTTTATAATGGTCTTGAAAACTGGTACGCTCTGTGCCCTGGCACAGTGCCAACGGAGACCTTGGGGGGCTCAGAAAGAGTTAGGCACTGCACAAAATGCTGATGACTGGCACCACCACACTGAGCTCCAAAAGTGCTGTTCAGCAAACCTGTGGGAGATGTCACGGAGGGTTCGTCCATTGTTTATATATAGTCTATGTTTTTGATGTCAGGGAATGAGAACAACTTGGCCATGTGCATGCAACACGTGTGAGCAGTAACTTTCAAGAGTCACGATTCCATGTGATGTAGCGCAATCAACATCGGAACCCATGCTACACACGTTTTTGTGACCACTGGCAGATGCGCATTTGTGATTTCACTATGAACCTAAGAAACAACACAAGCTTACATATATAATGTGAGGATTAATTCATGTGATGGCATGGCTGATCTTGGACCAACTGATGGAAATGGAGACATAAACATTAAAATTCAACTCTAAGACTGTTAAATATCTTTGTTTTAAATCACTTGTGTTGAATCAGTAGACGTCACAACAACAGAATGACTCCAAATTTAGAAATATTCGTGAGTGTCTTGACTCTTTATTTCTTAGTAAAAGCTATGCTTTATGTGCTTTCAATGGGAATTTGCTATTTAGCTTGTGTAAGCTGAAAATACTGTTTAGTGACTGTGTAAAGGCACTTTCAGGCTTTTTCCAAACACAGTAAACAGTGAAAAACCACAAAAGGGCAATACATTTTACACAGTTGAAAAAAGGATGTGACCACATTAAATTTTAATCTTAATAATATAACAAGTAAATATTTGTCCACAGATGGAATAAAGGATTAGAAAAGTTGACTATAGCTAAAGCTTAAAAAGAAAAATCTACTACTTAGAGATATACAGAGTGTAATGGATGCCTACAACTACAGCCAAATTGTGAGTTCAAAACACAATACTGGGGTGGAAAAAACAGTAAAAACATAAAATCCGAAAAAAGGACGGGTTATTCATATTAAGTTTTTTCACATACAAAGGACAAATACAGTGACACCAGAACACAGCTCAGCCAGGAAACAGATTAGGAGAGAAGGAAGGAAGAAAGAAAGGAGGGAGGAGTAAAAGATCAGAGTTCACTCTCCTCCACTTGCAGAGCAACGGGGCCAAAATCAGCCACTATAAAGTCCCCAGTGCAACACTTATTGAGAAAAAACACAGGAGAAGCAGACCAAACACAACAGATGTACTGGCAAGAGATGAGAAATGAGCAGGGCTGCAATTACTGGGTTCAGCTTTTCGTTTGTTTTGTTGTCTTTTGCTGATGTATTTATAGATCACAGAGCTTCAAAAAAATCTATGATAATTTTTTATTTTTTTTTTTTAAACATTAAACATTTTTAAACATAATATCCCCTTCGACAAATTTTGGGTGTCTTCATTCTAATCGTTTTTGTTTTTCTCCTCTCCTAATGTAAGACTAGTTGTAATATAACAGCAAAATAAACAATATTTATCTGTCCATTCCATCAAAACCAGTGATGGTAATCTCTAACACTTCTCTGTATTATGTGACAGAATTCAACAGAGGCACAAACTCAAACCTGTAAAATGACAGATGACCAAATAATAGTTGAATCAACACATTTCTAGAATGGTTTCAATAAAAGCTGAACATTAGAACCTTCACGAAGGAGCTCAGCTAGGTGGCTACATATATTTGACAATATTGTATTTATGTACTTAAAGAGTTCATTTGCAAAAACAGATAACTCCACCTTCAGAAAACCCACTTTTCCATTGTCTACTTGAGACAATATCAATCAAACTTAAGCTATCTCTATTTTTGTCATGTCATTTCTACTGAGTTAAATCCACTCAACTCCACTTTAATTGATCTTAATAAAAAATGAGTTGAAAAAAAATCTACAATCTACAAAAATGGAGTTATCTGTTTTTGCAAATGACCTCCTCATTTATAAACTGGATAAACTGATGCCCATTTTATCTGCAGACAAGAGAAGCCAGCAGTCTGTCTGCTGTTTGTTGCTGAGAGTGACTTCATCAGAGCTTTTTCAGTGAAAACAGCTGCCCGCTGCTGCTGAAAACTATGCTTCGACTCACATCTGTAAAGCTGCACACCATTAAAACAAAAAAGAAGCTGAAAGACGCTAAAACAACTGTTAAACTGAAGGGAATTGCAAAGTTGGTAATAATGCTCTGTGCGTTTGTCTCTTGTACATCCCTTTCACTTGACACACTTTGATCCATTATATTTATAAAATGTCGATGAGTGAAGTTTCAATAGACGCTTAATCCACTATTTTTTTCTTGCTTAGTATTTGGTTGCAAGTGTTTGCTCTATTCATTGCAGCCCTAAGAGAGTGATTCAGAAAAAGACAGATAGTGGCTGAGAACACAGAGAGAATTGTACACTTCACAACAGATAACAACCAGCACAATAACCATCTCCATTACTGAGACAAAACAACCAGCTGACTTTAGATTGACTCTGAGACTGAGAGGGTGGGAGTGGCGGATGAAGGTGGGGGAAGGTAAATACTGTAATGCTTTTACTATTAGTAATATTCAGAATGTGCCAGATACTGTACAAATCCTGAGGGGACGGCATACAGGGATTGTTTCAGAATGCAGGCTGTGGCAAGATGGATACACTTCAACCACCTCTGCCTGGACATGTCTAGATTTTTAAATTCTGTAGACTATAGGGCAAAACAGGTCATCATTATATCATTACCAGTTTGCTTATCGTGGAGGAGAATGACATGAAACATTTCAAATCCAAATTTTTAAATGGCATAAGACTTCAAATATTAGGAAAAAAAATGACTACAGGACCAAGCAGAGAGTGAGTTATAATTGGCCTCTATTAAAAACAGTAAAGTTAAGGAAAAAGGCAGCTACAAGTGCAGAAAAGGGAAAGGACAAGATCTGGAGGTCTGTGCTCAGGACCTGGACAGAACTGACACAACAGCTAACCAACTGTGGTGAGAGAGAAGGAGAGACCAACCAACACACAAGAAAATGGCAGAAGGCATAATTACCACGCTCATGAGTGATGACTGAGAAAGGGAAGAAAGTGCAGTAAACCAAAATAAGAAAAGGAAAACAGGGGGAAGAAAGAAAGAGAGAAAGAAAGTAAGAAACAAAGAAAAAGGTTACATATAGGGAAAAGAGCTTTAAAAATTCCGAGTTTTGCTGTTTGGTCAACATAGGAAAAAGAAATGTGTTGTCAGAAACCTGTGCAGCTGAATAAAACTCAAAGAAATTTATATTTTTAAATACAACAGAGAGACCTTTTCTCTTCTTTTTAATTGTAGATATATGTCCATGGTAAGCTAATTTTCTTTATAGGGCATTTTCAATAGCTAGTTGGCAGGTACTTTGTACAAACAAGATAATAATGGGGAAATTATGGATTGAAAAACATTATCAGCTGTCGCAAGTACCATGATGTAATGTTATAATAGGTGCACTAGTCATGATTAGAATGTCAGTGTTAGCACATAGTGGCTTAGAAATGCCTTTTATTTATTGGGCATATACAGGGATGGGGAAAAATAACCAACACAAAATATTTCAGTT